CGTTTTCAAACTGAACTCACATCAGGTCGATTCATGAACGCGTTCACTTCCGGAGAAGTCTTTGCCATTTCCCATAGTTGGCCTTGGCGTTCACAGTCAGCACCAGGATTCAAAACCTTTGAGAAGAGATTGTAAATTGATGGAATAGCTTGTGAGTACGGTAATCATGAAGCTTACATAGTCAATGTGATTTTCAACGGTGTGAATAGGCACTGGAACAAATCCGACAGGCCATCCTTCTTCGGACGGATAGTCGTGATCAGGGACGGCATTTCCATCATTCTGACCATACATACCAAGAAGGTTTGACATAGCTGACAGTAAAGTTCGATTTCTGTCTGTTGACCGAATGTAGATCTGCAAATGACTCGGCATAGAGGAGCGGTGAGATGGGAAGCTCAGAGAACTAAATGGAAATAAGTCTTCTGCGTGCCATAAGAGTCCCTAATAAAGCTCCTAATGGGATGGGGACTGATCTCGAAACGATCTATTGTCTGGTATTTCAATTCACACAGTTGAATAACTCATAGAGTTAGGCGTATCTATTGTATTGAACAACCCGTCCTTGTATAACTGAAAGCCCAGGATTATCAGTGGTGTTTGTCCACGAAGAAAAGGTGATATTGAATGAAAATGGCACATCACAACCTTAGACCCTCCAACTACAACGGATTTGGTAGCAGCTCGTCAGAAGACCAGAGAGTTTCACACGCTTAAATTAATCGTTTGTCTAAGAAGTCGACATCTGAGAAGACGACTTAGAGAGGAAAGGAGTAGAGAAACGTCAAAACTTAAGGTTTTCATGAATCATGAGTTTGTCGGCAGCAGTAGTCCATAACCCTAGTGACGATTAAAATACAGATTTGTTTTATATACCGTTCCTAGGATCATCAGCAGACTATGACTGTGTCCAGTCGAAGACCCAATACTTTTCGTTTTTTTCGATCCAGGTGAAACTTTCTTACCACCCAAGTAGAATGAGGGAGAAATTATCCTTGGATCCTAAATTACTAGTCTCTCGTGTTTGTGTGGTTTTAGCCGAAGCATGTCTGGCAGGGAACCGGATCGATAGCTATTGCATAAATCCTTATCGTTAGTCATTTTCAGTAGGCTTCTCCATTTTGGTCTTGGGGAACGTTCCAAATTTTGAATAGTCTTTTTTTTCATCCATTCAGTCTTTTGAAGGCAAGCACGATCTACATATATGGGCACGTTCTACCACCTGAAATCTGAAGGTTCAGAAGATCTGAAGACAAAACTGAATCATGCACCAGGGCAGTCTGCACCAACTGCAACCAATTCAGAAAAAATTGTTGACGAACCTCTTTGGATGAATACGTCTTGCTCAAAAATTTCATCTCGTCGACATAGATCCTCCTAAGGAGCTTGCCAAAGTTCAAGTGTTGTTTCATTCCAATCTGAAGCATTTCAAGATGTGATCGGAGGGGGCAATCAGATAGCATTCAATTTGGGGTCGAATACAGTACTCAACATCTTTAAAGATATTTTTTATGAAATTTTTCGCGCTAGTGTAACAACCTCCGAGTAGCTTTTTCGTTTGCTTGGGTATTGCCTATGC